CTCTTCAGTGACTCCCCCTCAACTTGATAGTCAAGTCCAAGTGTCATTAACATGGTTTTACCAGGTTCTGCCTGCATTCCTGCCTCTTCTCCCACCATTTGCCCTCAGTCATTCTATGCTCTGGGTCCTCAGTGCTTCCTCTCCATTTCTACCATTTAGCATGCTCTTTCCCATAACATTTGATGTAAGATGGGTTCCCTGAGAATGGGCAGTTTATCATATAGGAGGTTTATTAGAGAGGGCTCCAAGTTCAACAAGTGTGGAAGGGAAAGGAAGTAAGTGGTGATGGACAGAAGGAGAAGTCAAGCTGCACTGGTGTCTTGACAGAACCTTAGCCAACACTTCAGGGAGCTTGGATGATGGAATGGCTCTTCAAAACTATCCAAACTTGGAGTTCGAGGATCAGGTTTATCCCCATGTCTCTCAGTCATTGGAAACCACCCTGTAAAATGGGGCGTGACCTTGGGCAAGGTGGCTCTCTTCAGCTGAGGCAATTCCCAAAGGAGACTAACAGCTGAGAGCTGTCTGAAAACTGACAACTGAAGGTTGTCTGCCAAGTCATTAAAATAATAATTTTTCATTTTTGGTTGAAATTCTGTGCTTACTGATGGCTGTGGTATCCAGTCTAAAGGCAGAAAGTAAATTTCGCTATGACTGGCTCAACCACAATTCCAAGTCCTTCCTCAGGAAAGGACATTAGGCCAACCCCCTCACTCTACAGATGGGGAAACTGAGGCCCAGAGAGAGTCTCAGATCATCAGCTACCACAATGACACTGTCTTCTAATAAATAGCTAATATTTGAATGTCTATGCTAGATTATACTAGGTGCTTTACATGCCTTGTCTAATTAATTACTCATGAAAATTCTGTGAGGTAGCTACCATTATTATCTTCATTTGACATATTTGGAAACAGGCTTGGAGCAGCCAGCTGAGTAATTTATTGGAGATTACACAGCTATTAAGTGGTGGATTTAGGATTTGAACCAAAGTCACTCTGACTCTGGAGTCCATAACTAGTAACTACTAAGATGAATTACTTTTTCTTAGTGCAGCAAACCGTCATCCTGGGTCTTGTGAGATACCAACAAACATGTGTGTATGTTGCTGTTATTTCTAAGAATAGATACAACATTCCCACATAAAGCACATATTTATTTTCTGTTTTCAGGGTAAGAGGATAAGCAAATGTGCTTCTAGATAGAAAATGTTTCATATCAACTATAAATCAGAGAATACCAAAGTAATTTGCAGGTTCCATGTCCCTTCCATGCCAGCTTCTCTGGATTTGGTGGCCTTGCTCCTTCCACAGCTCAGACATCTCTCCAACAGCAGCCTTTAGTTCCAACAGAGGAAGGTGTGCATCTGAGTGTCTTTCAGCAAATCTGGCAGAGTCTTCTCTGGCCGTCCCCAAACTCCAAAGTCTGAAGGGAAGCAGCCTGTCCAGCAAGGTGGTCCCCGTTGGGTTTATAAAAGACCTTCTCTGAGACCTGAGAAACTACCAAAATCTCTCTCTCTTCCTCTCCTGTTTCATCAAAATGAAACCTATTCAAATAAAAAGACTCTGAAATGTAAAGATTTCCCAATGTAGAAATGGTGTTAAATTACAATAGTATCATGTGATCCAAGAAACTCTAAACTGTGTCAGAAAATGTGGATTAATTTGTTTAACAAACACTCATTGTGTTCCTACCAAATGCCAGGCCCTGGGCCAGATGCTGGAGCTTGCAGTGTTTTGGGAGTTTGCCATTTAGTAGTTCTCAAATGTTAGTGTGGATAAGAATCACTCAGGAAACTTGTTAATAATGCACATTCCTGCACCCCACCCCAAGAATTTCTGATTCATCAGGTGGGACTGAGGTTTACGAGTCTGCATTTAATTCTGAAGCAGGTAGTCTTCAGTTGTATCTTGAGAAGCCCTGACTTAGTAGATCGTAAATTCTGATCAGGTGTTTGTCTCAAGTCACTTAAACTCAGGACTGCAGAAGGTTGAAGAAGATATGTGATTTCTTATTCCTTCAAGAAGGCCTAGAAAGATTTCCTAGAAAGGTTTTCTATATAACAGCACACCAACATGACACCAATTTCTTTTCAAACGGGAAAAAGACATTGTGTCATCATGTGGTCTAAGTGGAGAAGTTGAAAGAGTGTCAATGGAACAATTCAAGAAGTGTGTGTGCATAAAAACTCATCAACCTTATACTTAAGCTTTGTGTACTTTACCATATAGATGTTTACTATACAAATGTTATGCCTCAATTAAAAAAATTTTTAAAAGAAATGTAAGGCAAAGGCAGTAAGGGGTTTAAAGATGTCATTCTGGAGGGAAGAAGGAGGAAGGAGTTAGGTACTGGCAGGAAAGAAAACAGGAAGAAGGGAGAAATTCAGACCTCTTGATGAAGGCACCAAGTAAATCCTCAGCAGCTGGTGTAGTAGAAAGAGGGCTTGAAATGGCAGTGCGCACATGTGGATGCAAATAGGCTAAAAAGTTCAAGTACCATGAGCCAGACACTTTGGGCACAAAAGGAAGGAAAGAAGGGAAAGAGAATAAAGAAGGGAGGGAGGGAAGGAGGCGGGGGAAGGAGAGAAGGAGAAAGAAAAAGAAAGAAGGGTCTTGTGGCTCTGACTAGCTATGTGGCCTTGAGCAAGTCGTTTGTCTGCTGCTCTAAGCCTATATGTGGATCTTTAAAATGGTGCTGAACCTCTGAAGTAAGGAGTGACAGAGATGGTGTATGTGAAAGGCTATTTGTAAAGGGCTGCCAGATGCTACTTATTATGAACACGTTCTGGCTTAGGGTCAGGCCAACTGCATGTGGGGATACAAGCAGTGTCTCAGTTCAGCTCCCCAAGTGACTTCCCACATCTTCTCTACACCTGACCACCAAACTTACAATGGTTTGGAGAGAGGTTTTCTTTTTCTCTTCTGCTCTGAGCTAACTTGGATGTTGCTTTGCACAAGCCTGAGCGTGAGATTCCTTTCAGCCCCCCAACCTCCAGCTGCCCTCCTTGACCCCCAGGAGCCCCTTCCACCTTCTCCCAGGCACGGCCAGCTGTTGTCACAGAGGCCACCTGCCTCTTCCCTGGCCTGTGAGTCACTAGTTGGAAGCCAGAGGCCTCACCAGAGGCCTCCAGGGACCAAGGCAGCTTGCTGGAGGCCCTTGGGGAAGGAGGGGAAATAAGACAGCACTAAAATTAAATGAATTGTCTATAAATGTTTTTTAATTAAAATTGTGATTCTTTTTCTATGCAGAAGAGTCTCTTTAAGAGCAATTGTACTCCCTGAGTGGCAGGCAAGAGCTCGGGCAGCTCTTCCTGAAGCCAGGGGGGAAGGGAGGTGAGAGCAGAGGGGATGGGGTAACTGCTTCTTTCCCCTTTTAGGGATAAGAAAGCAAAATGGAGGAGGGGTGGTGGAGCTGTTAAGGGGTCTGCTTGGGATTCCCCAGGCTGAGGCTCCTGAGGGAGGGTGCTGAGCTTGCTGGGGACCCTGAGGCTGGGATTTTGTGTTTTCTTTTGTTCTATAAAATTGTGCCACCTTCTCACTCCCTTCTCCCCCCTCGCTGGCCCCAGCCACCAGCCATGAAACTGCAGCCAGAGCCACCCCCGCCTCGGCCTTGGGGCCACCCGGGCAGGCAGAGGAATCCAAAAGGGAGAGAGAGGGAGAGAGAGCGAGAGGGAATGAGACCCAGAAGCAGAGAGACAGAGACAGATTGGAGAGAAGCAATGGAAGAGGGGAGAGACAAGGGGAGGAGACCGAGAGCCCCCCAGAGGAGAGAAATCCTTAGAGGGAGCGCAGGGGTCTTGGAGACAGAAGCAAAGAAGCGTAGAAGAGGGAAAGCAGCTTAAGCGGGAGAAAGTAAGAAGGGGAGAAGGACAGGGAGGGGAAGAGCCTAGAGGTAGCAAAGCTGAGGGACGTGTGACTTGGAGAAACAAAAGTGGACTGTCTGGGGGCTGCGGCTGCTCCCAGCAAAACGCCAAGCTCGTGGCGAGCGTCCTAACCCGGTAGCTCCTCAGACTACACACAGCTCAGCAACTTCTCAGTCTACGCTGTGCAGCCGCCTCATTTCGGACCCCTAAACTGGCGGTACAGGCATAGCACACGCGTAGGGGGATCGAGGGGCCCGGCTTGTGCGGGTGCCCCAAGGGAACAGTGCGCCTCAACGCACCAGCCAGGTGTGCAGGCGCCACGAGGAGGAGGCTGGGGCCTCTGTGCCCGCCGCGCGCGGCTGCGCCCGGGATCGCGCACGGTGTCGGAGAGTCTGTCCTGGTGTATCCTCCCCAACCCTCCTAGCTTCCCCAGATTTGTTTGCAAGGTCTACATCCGTCAGCACCGCTTACGTCCTGGGGTGGGGTGGGGGAGAGGGTCTCTGCAAGAATTAATATCTATTTCATCTCTTGCTCCCTCAAAGCTTCTCTTTGACGGCGGACTTATTTAAAGTCAGATGAAAGGAAAATCTTGCCTGTTCCGGGTCCTGTGATTGCACAAATCCAAAATACTGCCGACCTGGAGATGCGGCTGGAAAACTCTAGAAACTGGGAGCGTTAGGAGGCAGGAACTTGAGGGTGTCCGGAGACAAGTTCCTAAATAAACCAAGAAACACGAAGTGGGAGATCGAGGGGGTAGGGCCTGAAGGTCCGACACCACTGGGACAAACAGAGAACTGGAGAGAGTGAGACACTTCAAGTGGAACCAACATCGTAGCCCGGCGTCTCTGTCTCTTGAGAGACATCCGCCCCACACCTCAACCCAGGCGCTCACGGTACCAGTTGCAGGGCCCCGTCCTGCCGGGGCTGCCACCCTCTCCCCCAGGAGTCCCCACACCGAGACTCTTCATTTGCTTTCTTTTTCTCCTTTTTTGTTTTTGATTTTTTATCCTTAAAATACAAGACAAAAATACACCTCACTTATAGATATATATATTTCACTCTCACCACATAAATACAAAACATCCAAGTATCCAAAACATTCAGAACAAAGTTAGTAGCCAGGATTCAATGACACCTACCCGCGTTTGAATCGTTCATTATTTTCTTTGCTATTTGCCTAAAAAAAGAAAAAAAAGCTTCCGACGTAAATAATTTACAATAAAATTACTATTTTTAAAATGCTCTGCGCTCGCTTCGGACGGAGGAATACATTCTAGACACTGCGGCATCTCGCCGTCTGGGTCTGTGGTTTTGGTTAAAACGCGGGTGGCGGTGGCAGTGGGGGACGGTTGTTGCGGCGGTAAAGGGTGAGGCCCGGATGGCGTCGCGGTCCGGGTTTCTGACTTGGGACCATGGAAACCCTGGGTGGGTTGTTTTTTTTAGAGGGAGGGATAGGGAGAGATGCCTTTCCTATCCACGCAAGGAGCTGATCTGGATACGGAGACCACCGATCGAGGAGGCCGGGCCGCCCCGAAGTCCCCGGCTGCGTCCCTGCCTCCCAGTCTGCCAAGAGCTGCTCTGAAATCCGGGCGTTTCCTGCGTGCTGGAAGGGTTTTGTTAATCCAGGAATAGGGGAGGGGAGGCAGTGGGCACTGATTTGTTTCCAAACCCAGCAATTCTACCCGGAGCCACGCGTCGGGGAGACGGTGGGGAGACATGCCGGAACCCGCACTGCTTTCTCTCCTGGAGAAGCGTGAAGCTGTCGGCTACCGCCCCAACAGCCTCGGAGAAAAGATTCTGAATTTTCTCTCATTAGCAGCGTTGGCTTTTCTTTTGTTTTTCACTTTTAAATTCCTGTTTAACGTCGTATCATCCAGAACTTTAATTTTGCATTGCCCTGCGGCACATTCTCTTATCCTTTCTTACACCTTCCAAACTCCATTGTTATGAGTACTTAAAAACTAGTTCCACTTCATTTGGTTTTATGTACTTACTACTCTTGTTTTATTGCTGATTAGATCAAATTTATTACCACCGTTGCCTACCTTGATGTTTGGTTCATTGTCTCCTGGGGTCGGCAGTGGCTGTGATTGGAGTTTCCCTAAAGGGGAGAAAACTCGTTAGGATTTGTCCAGCCAGAAAGCTGCGTGTGCAGCGGCTCTCCCAAGAGGTCCGCAAAGTGGGGCCAAGGGGCTCCCCAAAGCCCTGGTTTCTCTGGCGAGAGAAAGGAAAGTCCTCTTTTTTTGGTCTAACGAAACCTGCCAGCCTTTTCAGCCGCTGGGGTCTGTGCGCAGCTTTCTTCTTTCAAATATTCATGAGAATAATCAGCGGCAGCAGCGGCCCCATCTAGAGCAGGTGTCCTGTGCTTTGGACTTAGAACCAGTCTTTCCCTTCCAGGGCCGGGCATCAGGTTGACTAACTCGGGCGTTTTCCCCAATTCTTTGGATTTTCCTGGATTAAGGAAGGGGGAAGGGGGGACACGGAGGAAAGAGAAAAAAAATAGCCCAAATGAGATAATATTGGTAGCAGAGCCTGGTGGGGAAGGAGAGCTGTCAGAGGCCTCGTGGGAGCCGGGAGCCCAGCAACGGAGCCCCGGGCGCCTAACGCGCGTGAGTCCATAAATATCACCACAATAGATACTATAAATATAAATACAGGGAAACACTTAAAATCAGTCCAGCGCTTTTTTCTCGGCTCCTTCTTTATTGTTGGTCCGGGAGTAAGGCTCGAAGGCCGAGGAGCTCAGGTATCGGGCGGAGAGTTCTTGCAAATTCCCGGCGAGAGAACCGGCCATTGTCAACGGGGCGGTGGACAGGCGGCTGGCGACGGAGCTGAGCAGCGAGGGCACGGGCAGGCTGAAGAGGCCGTGGCCAGCGGCCGGCGCGCCCGTGTGCAGTCCCCCTGGCCCGGCGGGACCGGGACCCGGAGCGCCGCCCAC